TATTAAGACCCTGTTTTTGCCTTTTGATGTGAATCATTTCAGACACCAATCTCTTATTGTAAGAAGATTCAATGTCTAAAATTTGAACATCATTCCATTTAAAATTATGGTCAAAGTTAATACGATGGTCAGTGATGACAGAAGGAGAACCTGTCCTTTTTCTGATGTCAGACATATGTTCTTTTAGTCTGGTACTCAGTTTTCTTTTTGTTTGACCAACGTAGCTGGCTTCACAATCATCACAGGTAATCTTATAAATAACATTGTTATTAGAAAGATGTTCTAATTTATCTTTACCTCTTTTAATAAAGCTTTTTAAGGTGTTAGGAATTGAAAAGGCTAATTTACACTGAAACATGCTTCTTAAGAATACTCAGAATTTTCATGTGAGAGAAAAATATTTCACAATACCTTACGTTAAATCCATATCTGAAAGTTTCCTTCCCATTTCCAGCATGTTTCAGTGTAAATTAGCCTTTTCAATTCCTAACACCTTAAAAAGCTTTATTAAAAGAGGTAAAGATAAATTAGAACATCTTTCTAATAACAATGTTATTTATAAGATTACCTGTGATGATTGTGAAGCCAGCTACGTTGGTCAAACAAAAAGAAAACTGAGTACCAGACTAAAAGAACATATGTCTGACATCAGAAAAAGGACAGATTCTCCTTCTGTCATCACTGACCATCGTATTAACTTTGACCATAATTTTAAATGGAATGATGTCCAAATTTTAGACATTGAATCTTCTTACAATAAGAGATTGGTGTCTGAAATGATTCACATCAAAAGGCAAAAACAGGGTCTTAATAAACAAAATGATACAGAGACTTTACCAGAATCTTATTCTCAGATAATAAACTCTCTTTCTCCTTCGTAAATTTCCTTTTCATTTTCACTTTTATTCCCACTTCATTACACTTTTACCCCTTCCTAATTTTTTTCCCCTTATTTCCATTTGTATTTCCTTTCTACTTGAGATGTTCGGTTATTCTTATTTTAAATTATTTATTGTTAACATCTGTAATAACTCTCTCTTCGCATTTTTCTAACTCATTTTAATTATAATTGTATTTCGATACAATTACAAGGTAATTAATTATTTTTTAATTTAATTGTTACTAAATTAACAATATAGATATGATGTAAGTACATTATGTTGTAATTTTACATTATATTCATTAATTTATTACCTTGAGAATTGAATCTCTTTACTGATTTATAATTGACTCTTACATTATATTCATTTTTTTACTGATACTGTATTTTACGATTTGATTTGATTCTTTTTACTGATTGATAATTTGACTCTTACATTATATTCATTTTTACTGATACTGTATTTTACGATTTGATTTAGAAATGTGGAGTAGTCCATAAACTATATAATTAGACGATTGCTTTGTTTGTTGGACTCTTGCTGGTGTTACACGATATGATTATGAACATAATTATGCGAGTGAGATTAAACATTTATATCAAACAATTTTTATATTTATATACATATTTATTTTGCGTTTATAATTTTATAATACAATAGTTTGTACATTGTTAACGATCTTGCGTTTTTAACATTGAAAATGACCTAATGAAGGTCGAAACGTTTGTTTTTATATTTTATTAAACTTTATATTTATTTATTTTTAATTAATGACAGTTTATTGCTAAGACCTTTATATTTTAACTAATGTTGGCTCGTAGCACTGTTTTGTATTAATTATTTTTGAAATTTATTGAGCCTTGTTATTTACATATTTTTTAATATAATATATTAACTGTAACTGAAAAGTAACTGATATATTACTAAATCTGCCAGTTCAAATTGAACGTACATATAACGAATATTTTCTATGTTGAATATGTACCACGAAAAGGAACTGATAGATTATTCAAAGTGCAAATTCAAATTGAACATACATACATACATATAAGTAAAACAGATTAGAATTTGTATATTACAGTTTTCTAGAAAATAACTGCAATATGTTATTCTTAGTGCACAAAATATAA